ACTCATTAACATATACTCACCAAACGAAGGAGCACCAAAATATATCAGACAAACTGTTGTCCTCTCTGAAACAGACATCAGAGAAACACATATGTAGTGGGAGACTTCAACACACCACTATCAACAATGGATAGATCAACAAGACAAAAAAATAAGTAAAGAAAACTAAAGCTCTAAATAAGGACCTAGAGCATTTGGCCTTAACAGACATCTATAGAACACTAAACCCAAAAAAAACGGAGGAGTACACATTTTTCTCAAGCGCACACGGATCATTCTCCAGGATCGATCACATACTGGGGCACAAGACAAACATCAACAGATACACCAGATTGAAATCATACCAACCATCTTTTCTGACCACGAAGGCATCAAACTAGAAATAAATCATAAAAAGAAGGCAAGGAACTATCCTACTCATGGAGATTAAAAGCCACATACTGGAAGACCACTGACTAACGAGGAGATCAAAGAAGAAATTAAAAAATTCTTTGAATTGAATGACAAGGAGGACACCAATATCCTAAATGTTGGGATGCAGCAAAAGCAGTAATAAGAGGAAAATATATAGCAATAGAAGCTCACATCAAAAAACAAGAAAGAATCAAAGAACAACCTAATCTCGAAGCTCAAAGATCTAGAAAAAGAACAACAAAAAAACCCCAGAACCAGTAGAAGAAAAGAAATAATAAAAACCAAAGCAGAAATAAATGAAATTGAAACTAAAAAAACAATCCAAAAGATCAATGAAACCAAGAGCTGGTTTCTTTGAAAAAATAAATAAAATAGACAAACCCCTAGCCAGGCTCACAAAGGAAAAAAAAGGGAGAAAGCACAATAACACAGAATCATAAATGAAAGAGGAGAAATCACAACGACACAGCAGAAATCAAAAGAATAATCAGTAACTACTATGAACAGTTATATGGAAACAAGTTCAACAATCTAGAGGAGATGGACAAATTCCTACAACTCTACAATCACCCAAAGCTAGATAAAGAAGAAATAGAACACCTAAACAGACCATTACAATTAGCGAAATTGAAATGGTAATCAAAAACCTCCCCAAAAACAAAAGCCAGGACCTGATGGATTTACAAATGAATTCTACCAAACATTCAGAGACGAATTAGTGCCTATCCTTCACAAACTCTTCCAAAAAATTGAGAAGGAAGGGACAATACCAAACACGTTCTATGAAGCCAATTATTACACTAATACCAAAACGAATAAGGACAACACAAAAAAGGAAAACTATAGGCCAATCTCCCTAATGAACACTGATGCAAAAATCCTCAATAAAATTTTAGCTATCAGAACCCAACAATGTATCCATAAGATAATTCACCACGACCAAGTTGGATTCATTCCAGGGGCACAAGGATGGTTTAACATCCGAAAATCAATCAACGTTATCCAACACATCAACAAAAAGAAATATAAAAACCATATGATAATATCAATAGATGCTGAGAAAGCTTTCGACAAAGTGCAACACCCATTCATGATAAAAGCCCTTGAAATTCTTGGGATACAAGGAACATACCTCAACATCATAAAGGCCATCTATGACAAGCCAACAGCCAGTATCATTCTCAATGGTGAAAAGCTGAAAGCAATTCCATTAAGATCTGGAACAAGACAAGGATGTCCACTCTCACCACTGCTTTTCAATATAATACTGGAAGTCCTAGCCAGAGCAATAAGACAAGAGAAAGACATCCAAGGAATCCAAATAGGAAAAGAAGAAGTCAAACTATCACTATTTGCAGATGATATGATAATATACATAGAGAACCCCAAAATCTCCACAGAAAACTAATTCAACTCATCAATCAATTCAGTAAAGTGGCAGGATACAAAATCAACACGCAAAAGTCAGTAGCCTTCCTATACACAACAATAAATCTGAAGAAGAAGAAATCAAAAAAAACCACCCCTTTTATTATCGAAACAAAAAAATCAAATATTTGGGAATAAATCTAACAAAAAGAGGTAAAGGACCTATACAAGAAAACTATAAAAACACTGTTAAAAGAAATAGAAGAAGGACACAAAGAAATGGAAAGACATCCCCTGCTCATGGATTGGAAGAATAAACATTATTAAAATGGCCATCCTACCAAAAGCAATATACAGATTCAATGCTATTCCAATCAAAATCTCAATGGCATTCTTCAAAGAAATAGAACAATTATTGATGAAATTCATATGGAATCACCAAAAACCCCGAATAGCCAAAGCTCTCCTGAAAAAAAAAGAAGGAAATGGAGGCATCACACTCCCAGACTTCAAACTATACTACAAAGCCATAATCATCAAAACTGCATGGTATTGGAACAAGAACAGACATACAGACCAATGGAATCGAATAGAAAATCCAGAAATAAAACCCACAGATTTATGGTCAACTAATCTTTGACAAAGGAGCAAAGACTATGCATTGGAGCAAAGAAAGTTTGTTCAATAAATGGTGCGGGGAAAACTGCAAAAGAATGAAGCTTGACCACTACCTCACACCGTACACAAAAATCAACTCAAAATGGATTAAAGAACTAGACATAAGACCTGAAACCATAAAATACATAGAAGGAAATATAGGCGAAACACTACGGGATTTGCACATCAAAGACATCTTTACAGACACATCACCCAAAGCAGTGATAGTGAAGACAAAGATAAACAGCTGGGACTACATCAAATTAAAGAGCTTCTGCACAGCAAAAGAGACAATAACAAAAACAAGAGAACCCCACCAAGGAGAACATTTTTGCACCCAACATAATGATAAAGGACTGATCACAAAAATCTGCAAAGAGCTGATGAGACTCAGCAACAACAAAGAAAATAATCCAGTCAAAAAATGGGCAGAAGAGCTAAAAAGAAACTTCTCTGAAGAGGAAATGCAAATGGCCAACAGACATATGAAAAAATGTTCAAACATCACTTGTAATCAGGGAAATGCAAATCAAAACTACCATGAGATACCATCTCACACAGTGAGAATGGCACATATTAAAAAAACTAGCAACAACAAATGTTGGCGAGGATGTGGAGAAAAAGGAACTCTTGTGCACTGTTTGGTGGGAGTGCAAAGTGGTCCAACCACTATGGAGAGCTGTGTGGAGATTTCTGGACCTACTAAACATAGAGCTTCCATATGATCCAGCAATTCCACTCCTAGGTATTTACCCAAAGGACACAGAAACATCAATTCCAAAGAGCACCTGCACTCCTATGTTTATAGCAGCACTGTTTACAATAGCTAAGCTTTGGAAACAACCCAAATGCCCAAAAATAGATGACTGGATCAAGAAGATGTGGTACATATATACCATGGAATATTACTCAGCATTCAAAAAAGATAAACACATGCAATTTGCAGCAACATGGATGGCGCTGGAAGGGATCATGCTCAGCGAAATAAGCCAAAAAGAAAAAGAAAAATACCGGATGGTCTCACTCATAGCAGGAATCTAGAAAACTTAAATAGGGACCAGGAAAATGAATATAAGAAAGTGAAAATCAAACAAAATCAACAAAAAACTATGAACCAGAGACACTTTTTGGGGGTGGGGGGCGGGAGGGAAGGATTGGGGTCAGAATGGGGCATTTGCAATTGTATGGGGGAATATAAAAATAAAATTTAATATTTAAAAAAAAAAATAAATAAAATGTTACTGAGGTTTATGTCATGTAGTGTTTCGCCTACATTTCTTCTATATATTTTATGGTTTCAGGTCTTATGTCTAGTTCTTTAATTCATTTTGAGTTGGTTTGGGGGCATGGTATGAGGTAGTAACAGCTGGGACAACATCAAATTAAATAGTTTCTATACAGTAAAAGAGATATTAACCAAAACAAAGAGACACCCTACTGATTGGGAGAAAATTTTTGCACACAGTACAACAGATAAGGGATTGATCACAGAGATCTACAAAGAACTGAGGAGACTCAACAAAAACAAAGTAAATAACCCAGTCAAAAAATGGGCAGAAGAGCTAAAAAGATACTTCTTCAAAGAGGAAATGCAAATTGCCAACAGGCATATGAAAAAATGTTCAATATCACTTGTAATCAGGGAAATGCAAATCAAAACCACAATGAGATACAATATTACACCAGTGAGAATAGCACATATTAAAAAAACTAACAACAACAATTGTTGGCAAGGATGCAGAGAAAAAGGAACACTTCTGCTTTGCTGGTGGGAATGCGAATTGGTCAGATCACTATGAAAAGCTGTGTGGAGGTTCCTCAATCTGTTAAAAATGGAGATTCCATATGATCCAGCAATTCCACTCTTAGGTATCTACTGAGAGCACACAAAAACATTAATTCAAAAGGACACCTGCATCCCTATGTTTATTGCAGCACTATTTACAATGGCCAAGCTATGGAAACATACCAAATGCCCCAAAATAGATGACTGGATCAAGAACATGTGGCATATATACACAATGGAATATTACTCAGCAATCAAAAAAGATAAATTCATACCATTCACAGCAACATGGATGGAGCTGAAAGGGATAATGCTCAGTGAAATAAGCCAGAAAGTAAAAGAAAAACATTGGATGGTTTCACTTATAGGAGGAATGTAGAGGATCCAAATAAGGTATCAGGGGAAAAAAGTGTTTATATTAAAGTAAAACTCAAAATCAACAGGCAGCTATAAAATGGAGACATTCTACAGGGTGGGGAGAAGGGAGTATGATCCAAACAGGGGTGGGAAGAGCACAAGGGACTATGGTGATGACACACTAGTGAATTGGTGGTGGGAATACCATGGGAACTATAACCAACATAAAAAAAAATGTATACATTGTACAAAAATGAAGAATGGTGTAAAAAATATGAAATAAAAAAAATTTAAAAAATAGAGAAATAGGGCCTCCCCTGGTGGCACAGTGGTTGAGCGCTGGTCTGCGAAGCTGCCTGCAGCCTCTGCAGCGCCGGTTCGATCCCCATCCAATGGGCAAGGGTCCCAGATGGCGCGACAGACCTCTCTTGCCCCTGCTGCTCCCCTCAGCAGTGTATTTCATTGTTCTGCCTGTTCTGTTCCCAGCTCTGTCTCTGGTGAATTCTCTCACCCTCCCATGCTTCTGACTGTACCAGTGCTTGTATAAATAAATAAGTAAATCTTTAAAAAATATTAGAGAAATAAAACAAAGTCAGATAAAGTAAAGCCAATAACAAACCTTGGAAATGTCACTGTACAGCTGAGACAACAAGAGGGGGAAATGGAAGGGGAGAGCAAAGTGGGGAGGGAGGACAGTGGACTTTGGTAGAGGCCCTTGGGTGTCTTGGTGGCAGGTGTGGTTTAACAGCACCTGAAGTGTTAAAATCATATACAACATTGTATATCAATGCTACTTCAATAAAAATGTCAGTTGTGTTTTCATTCGCTAATAGTGAAATAATTGAAAATAAAATTATGACAAAAGTCCCATTTGTAATAATATCAAAAACAAAATATTTTTGAATAAATTTCACCAATGTTGTGAGATCTGAACACTGGAACTGTAAGATCATAATGAAAAAAATTGAAGAAGTCTTTAATATATAGAATATTACCATGTTCTTGTACTATAAAATTTAATACTATCAAAATGTCCATATTATCCAAAGTGATTGATAGATTATTGCAATCTTTATCAAAATTCCAATGGCATTTTTCGCAAAAATAAAAGAATTCTTAATTTTCTATAAAATAAAAAAGGCTCAAATAATCAAAGGAATCTTGAGTACCAAGAACAAAATACAATTTCTGAAGAACTATAATTTCTGACTTCAATTTATATTCAAATTACATTTAAAATTACATAGTAATCAAAAAGCATGGTACTGGCACAGAAACAGATACCTAAAGTAGTGGAACAGAATGTAGAGCTCAGAATAAAACCATGCATTTATGTTCAATTAATCTTTGACAAGGGACTCACAAATACTGAATGAGAAAAGAATAGTCTCCTTAATCAATGTAATCAATGATGCTTGTAAAACTGGATGTTCCCATACAAAAGAATAAACTGGACTTCTCTTTTACAGCAATAGTAAAGATTACCTCCAAATGGATTATGGACTTAATTGCAAAACTTGAAATTGTAAAAGTTCAGGAAGAAAAAATAGGGAAAATGCTAAATAATCTCGCTATTAGTGATGATATTTTGGATATGTTAACACAGCACACAAAAGCACAAATAAACATCTGAATCTAAATTAAACTAAAAATCTTCTACTTAGCAAAGAAACTATAAACAAAATGCAAGTTGCCTATAAAATACAGAAAATATTTAAATAAGTCCCTGATAAGTGGTTAATAATTATAGCTCATTCAGTACTGCTATAGCATATTATATTTCTTCCTTTTCAATTCGTGCAGAGCCATATGACATTATCTGTTTTCCACAAAATGGTGAATGATGGCAGTTTGTATTGATAGTAATTGATAACTCATCATTTTCATTATTTGTAAATTAATAAAATAATTTTTACTGATGGGAAAATGTATATAAAGAACTTATGCTATTCCATGGGAAACATAATAATAATTTGATTAAAAACAGAAAAAATCTTGAAGAGACACTTTTCAAAGAAGATATACAAATGGCTAACAGGTACATGAGAAAGTAATCTGCATCAATAATCTTCAGAGAAATGCAAATCAAAACTACAATGAGATTCACTTCATGCTGTTAGATTGCCAATTGTCAAGAGATAAGAAATGTTGGTGAGATTATGGAGAAAGGGAATACTTATATACTCATGGTGGGAATGAAAATTGGTATAGTCTTGAATAAAACAGTATAATATGGCTGAAAAAAATGTTTAATTAGGACTACTCTGGAATCTGTCATTTCCACTACCACAGGAAAGAAAATCAGCTATCTCAAAAATACATCTTCACCCCATGTTCATAATGCATTATTCATAAAGTCAAGATATGGAAAGAACCTATAATTGTATCAATGAATACATAGATGAGAAAAATATAAATATGTATATATAATATATGCATGTACACAAATATATATGTGATGTAGTATATATGTGTTGATTTTCAATTATATATACCTGAAATATTTATAATATTATAATGCAATGTTACTTCAAAGAAAAGGGGGGAAATCTTATATACAGAAGTGTATATAAGATTTAATGCAATGTGGGCCCTCCCTGGTGGCACAAAGGGTTAAACACTGCACTATGGGGCAGTCCGCAACCTCTGAAGCATGCCTTCCATCCCCAGCAAGCCAGAGAGCATTCCACATGGCAAAGCAGACCTCTCCTAACTCGCCTGCTGCTCCCCTCAGCAGTATATTTTAGTCAGTCTGCCTGTTCTGTTCCCCACTCTGTCTCTGGTGTATCCTCTCACCATCCCCCCCAATCCCGCATCTTTGGCCTGTACTCCAGATCTTGTATGCATAAATGAGTAAATCTTTAAAAAAATATATAATGCAATGTTACTTAAGTGAAAGTGTGTGCATGTGTGTGCACAATGAAAAATTATTCAACAAAAAGAAGCATGAAAAATGTCATTTATCACAATATAGATGAATCATTAGGTGTTTATACTAAATGAAAGATGAAAGACAGAAAAAACAAATGCACAAACCTGGAATGCTATCACCTATATATGAATATTTTTAAAAAATGTTGAGCTTACACAAACAGAAAGTAGAATGATTGTTGGCCTGTGTTGGGAGCTGGTGAAATGGGTGGAAGTTGGTCAAAGGATTCACACTAAGGAATAAAGTTAATAAGTTCTATTTAATGTACAACATGGTCACTATAGTTGATATTACAGTATTATACACTTGAAATGTGTGAAGATTAGAGATCTTATGTTTTTTGTTAATGCACAAAAATTTTATGATGTGAATTGGTGGATGTGTTCACATGATTATTGTAAACAACTCATTTATGGAATCATTCTGTTGTATACTTTAAATATGTTTCTTCAATCAACCTCAATTAAGATGAAAATAACAGTAATAAATAATTTTATACAATCAAACAAGCATCATTCCTCTTTCCCAGATATATAGTAAAAAGACTCATCAAATGAAAGCAAACCATAAAAATCTGACTGTAAAACTGAGGATAGGCACAGAGAGGCCTTACATCTTCCCACAAGATCCTGCCATTACCCATACAGACCCTAACAGCTAATAACCATGCTGGGACAGGAGCATGAGTGACCACAGGCCAAAAGTAACAGGTCAAGAGTGACCTCCCACCAGAAGACACCAGCACTAGCCCAGACAGCTGGGACACCTGACCCAAGCCAGGGGAGGTGCCAGAGGAGTCCCAGGCTTTGTGACCTTATGGAGACTGCAGCACTTGCTCACCTAAAACCTAACACTGAGACCCCTGACCAGCAATGGGGAGGAGCCAGTCACAGAAGAACTCTGACCTACAGCAGCTGGGACCTAAAACAAATAATGGAGAGAAAGTAAAATAATGAGCACATCAGTGCTCAGGGAAATTCTACAACACAGAGAAAGAATGAATTTCTGGAACCCAACTTCAAAGAAATGGAAGATATACTTTTATTATCAAATGCAGAACTTAAAATTTCAGTAATATAGAAATTCAAAGAAATAGAAGAGTGCTCAGAAAACAAATGAATATCCCTAGAAATAAAATCAATGAATGGAAAATAGAAAATGAAGACTTTAATAAGGTAATAATGGAGTTTTAGAATGCAAAAAAGAAGCATCTAAAAGATAAAAAATTCGGTAGAAATTTATAGAAGTAGATCAGATGGAAGAAAGAAATAGTGTACTTGAAGATGTGAATGTACAAAGAATACGGGCAGAGAAAGAAACAGAGAAACAAATTATCCACCTTTATAAGGAAATTCAATGTAAGATTAGTGGGAATATCTGAGGGGAAGAGAGGACCAGAAAATGTATTCAAATAAATAATGGAGATAGACTTGCCAATCCTAGAGAAAGGAATAAATATTCAAATTCAGAAAGATAAAAGAACACTGACATACCTACATAAAATGAGACTTACACCAATACAGATTACCAATGGTATTTCCAAGAATTCAGGACAAAGAGCGATATTGATGTGGACAAGAGGGATGTAACAGATAACATAAAAAGTAGCCAGATCAAGTTAGCATCAGACTTCTCTGAAGAAATACTACAGCAGAGAAAGAATGAAATGATATGTTCCAAATATTTAAAGTTAAAATCTACCTGCCAAGAATACTCTATTCCACCAGGCTCCCCTTCATATACAAGGGAGAAATAAAGTTCCTTTAAGACACAGATAACCTGAAAGAGGTTGCAAACACTAGATCACCCCCCCCCCAAGAAATGTGTGAATAGTGGGAATTCCAAGAAAAGCAGGACAAATGTAATTGAAAATCATATGGAACCACAGAAGACCCTGGGTAGTCAAAGCAATCCAGACCAAAAATAGGAAGAATGGCAGCATCACACTCCCAATCTTCAAATTACACTACAAAGCTATAATAATTAAAATAGCATGGTCCTGGAACAAAAATAGGCACACAGAGCAATGGGTTAGCATTGCAAAGTCAGAAATGAACCGACCCATATGGAAAGTTAATCTATTACAAAGTAGACAAAATATACACTTGAGCAAGAAAAAATCAATAAATGGTGCTGGGAAAACTGAGCAGTCACATGTAAAAGAGTGAAACTAAACCAATATTTCACACCATACCAAAAATAAACTCAAAATGTATACTTAGCTGTAAGACCTGATTCCACAATAAATATAGAAGAAATATAGACAAAACTCTCCACAGCATGTATTTCAGATGTGTATTTTTGAATTTGTCTCCAGTACCAAGTAAAACAAAAAAAGAGTATAAACAATTGTAACTACATCAAACTGAAAATCTTCTGCACAGTAAGTGAACTTTCAATAAAACAAAAAGACACCCTGCTGAATGGGAGAAAACATTTGTAAGCCATACATCTGACAAGGAGATGATATCAAAAATATAAAATGAACTCATACAACTCAACAAAATGAAAACAAATAACCTAATCAAAAAAGGGACAGAAGAGCTAAATAGTCACAACTCCAAAGAATATATACAGATGGATAACAGACACATGATGAACTGCTTATCATCACTTATTGTCAGGAAAATGCTAGTCAAAACCACTATAAGTGACTACTCCAAATCAGTGAGAAAGGCTCTTATCAAAAAGATCAGAAAAAAGTCCTCGAAAGGATGTAGAGAAAAAAAAAAAAAAAGAGCATCTTATGTTGATGATGGAAACAGATTGCTCCAGACAGTATAAAAAACAGTATGGATGTTCTCAAGGATTTCAAAATGGACCTGCCATATGACTCAGCAATTCTATTCTTAGGCATCTACCTGAAAAACACAGCAGCACTATTTTGAAGGGAAACATGCACTCTTATGTTCTTTGTAGCACAATTTACAATGGCCAAGCTATGAAAACAACCTAAATACCCTGATACAAATGAGTGAATCAGGAAGATGTGGCATACATGCACAATGAAATACAAGTCAACTATCCAAAAAGGTATGCTATTGCCTTCTGCAGCAACATGAATGAAGCTGGAGGGTATTATTCTTGGTGAAATAAGTCAGAAGGTGCGAGACAATTACCAGATTGCATCACTTCTAAGTAGAACACAGAGAAATTAACAGATGGACAGATAAAACCAAAGCAAGAACTAACCCTAGAAAGCTGACTACATGAAAGAGGCTACCAGAGGATGCAGAAGAGGGGGAGGGCAAGAACAAAGAGGGGAGGCATTAGGAACATGGAATAACTCAGGCTCTGTTTTGCCTTCCAAAAATCCAGTAAACAACAGATGGCCAATAACTTTGAAAGTGCCTTGCACATGCAACAATATATCACCTATATGACCCTGAACACATAACAGTAAAAAGGGGGCTAAGAGGCTCAGCTGCTGCCCTGCTTGCCTGTCTCCCTGCCTACTGGTCTGCCTGTGTATCTGGTCCCCCACTTCAGCATTAAAGGTATGTCAGGTATACCTAAGGCTCTAAGATTCTTTTTCCATTTGCCCAAATCAACAGTGAACCTGCCTAATCTTGGATGGTTGCACAACAGGAAGGAACACAATGGACTGTGGTGGTCAACTACTGGTGTTTTGCTAGTGGATGTGGTATAAAAATACTTTGGGAGGGGGAGATCCTATAGTTTTAAAGCATATACAATGCTATTTATTTATTTAAATAAAATGATAAAATTAATAACATTAATTTTTTGCATAGCAAAAAATTGTCACCAAATAAAATGATACCTACTGAATTGTTCAAAATATTTGCACATCATGCAACTGACAGGAGCTGATATCCAAAATCTACAATACCTCATGCAATTTGGCAAAAGGAAAATAAATGACTCTATTAAGAAATGGGTATCAGAGTTAAAATAGGCATTTCTCCCAAGCAGACATAATAATGGGAAATAGGCATATGAATAAATGCTAATCATCACTTATTGTCAAGGAAATGCAGATCAAACAACAATGAGATACCACCTCACACCTGTCAGAATGGCCCACACAGAAAGGCCAGAAACAGCAAGTATTGGCTTGCATGTAGAGAAAGCAGAACACTTGTACACTGTTAGTAGGAATATAAACTTGCCTGGCCCCTATGCAAAAGAATATAGAGATTTCTCAAAATATGTGAAATAGGTCTAATACATGATTCAGTAATTTCACTCCTATATAGCTACTCAAATAATGCAAAAACCCTAATTTGAAGATGTAGATGCACTTTTTTAAAAAAGATTTATTTATTTATTTATACAAGCACTGGGTACAGTCAGAAATGCGGGAGGGTGAGAGAATTCACCAGAGCCAGAGCGGGGAGCGGAACAGGCAGAATGACAAAGTACACTGCTGAGGGGGGCAGGAGAGGTCTGCATGCCATGTGGGGCCCTCGCCGGCGGCCGTGGATGGAACGGGTGCTGCAGAGGCTTCGGGCAGCTTCGCAGCCCATCACTCAACCGCTGTACCACCAGGGGAGACCCAAGATGCACTTCTATGCTCATTGCAGCACTATTTCAATATTCATTGTAGCAGCAAGAAGACCACAGTGCAGAATGTCTATGATCCCATGCAGACGGGTAATGGAGAGTCCTGGAGCCCTCTGCGGCTTTTTCAGGCTTTTATTGACTTTACCAGGTACACAGTAGGCAGGGGTGCCAGGGGGCCTGGAGGCTGGGAGGCCTTCCAGCCTCTCGCAAATCTTCACTCTTTCTGGGCTCTCTGGCGTTCTCTCATAGTCTCGTTTTCTCTCTTTGTTTCCTTGCTGTTCATTCCATTGGATGGTGATTGGAGAGATCAAGGAGGATTTGAGGAAGAGGTGGCCTTTGAAGCAAGGAGAGAACGGTCCATTTCCATGCTGGCATCCTCATGATGCAGCCCTCATAAGACCAGTCCTAGCCCAGGTGTATCCCACCTACATATGCTCAGACCCTACTTCAGGTGTCTGCCATCAAGCATGCATTCAGGACTGCAGGGATCCATCATCAATCCTAATGGCGTGAAGGCAGAAAAGCCTGACAATAATTTACCCTGCATCGTGTTTTGGAAACAGATGATTGGGTTAAGCAGATGTCTTCTACATATCCAATGGAATACTAATCAGCTATAAGAAAAAATAAAATCTTGCTATTTTTGATAGTATGGATAGAAAGGAGAGGGGATAATGCTAAGCTAAATACAAATACCAGACTTTCATTTTTATCTGGAATATATAGGTATATAAAACAGAAGGTTGCATAAGGCCAAACCAATAATAAACCCTAGAAAGCCATAGAACTAAGGCTACCAGAGGGAAATTAGAAGATGGAGAACAACGTAGGGGTGAGACACAACTGACTATGGTGGAGAGCGATGGGTGCCTTGTGGTTGGTATGGTGTGGTCATACACACATGAAGCAAAGTGGAAAATATCTAAAGTTATGTTGAAACAAAGCCTCACTGTAGACTGAAAGTTCCAAAAGTAACTGATTAAGGGTCTCAAGGCCACACGCCTGACTCATCCCAGATAACAGTTTAGAAGGCTCTTGCTCCTGTGTTTCCTGCTGGCTGTTAGGACTCCTACTAAAAAAATAAATACCCTGTTGCCTAATTGCTCAGGGCTTAGATTTTGGAGAAGATCTCTTCTAAACCCACCAGCATTAATAAAGAACTTCCTTCCTCTTCTCTCAGTACTGTTTTGTTTCCTGATGGAATTTCTACTGTAACAGAAGGACATATCTTATACCTTTAAATAATACACAGTGTTGTAAACCAATAGTACGTCAATAAAAAAAGAAATAAATATTTTGTCTAATAAATAAAATAAAACCTGTAGGGAGAATTATTAAGAACTGAATTTAAAAAAATAAACTAAAAAAAATCATTTCATTACAACTGAGGTTCAAAGAAATGAAAAATAGAAGCCTATTCCTATAATTTGGGATCCAGAATATCAAAACTTAAACTAAGAAACTTAGACACAGCAGCAGTATCAGGGAACAGTGAATGTGATGTTCTGCTTGGCAAATATTTTTGTACTGGGTAATTTTAAGATCAAAGCATATAAACAATGGTCATACTGAGACAAGGAAGCAGACATACTTCAGAACCAAGACCCAACATATTGGAGTATAAAAGTATGCATTTTTGTAGAAATATCTATCTCACAACTTCTGGGTCTTGTTGAAATTAAATGAAAGTACTAGTTGAGTTTAGAGGAAAATAGAAGGTACAAAGGGGAAAAGAAAGAAGCAAAGAGACATGAAACACATTGATGGGTCTTTTTATTTTGCAAGTTTATATTTCTTTTCTTCCCCCAAATCCATTGCATTGCATATTCTTTAAGAAAGTGACTATTAAAAGGGAGGGAGGGAGGAGCACAGAGGACTGTGGTGATGGTGCATGGGTGCCTTGGAGAAGGAAATGCTATGGGGACTCAATCTGAGGGGGTGGGGGGGAAGCAAATATTGTTCAAAAATAAAAAAACATTTAAAAAGAAAGTGACTATTAAATATATTCCCTCCTATATCATATTGTGCCTAAATTAGCAGCATGAAGAAAGTAAGGGCCTAATCAATCATTTTGTGAATGGAAATGAATTTTCAGCTTGAACAAAATTCAACTTTCCTACCTTAGAGTTAGGAAGTGTATCATTAACTTTTTGTAAAGAGTTTATTTTCAGGCCTCCCCTGGTGGCTCAGTGGTTGGGCGCTGGGCTGTGAAGTTGCCTGCAGCCTCTGCAGCACCGGTTCAATCCCCGGCCACCAGCAAGGGTCCCACATGGCGCGCAGACCTCTCCTGTCCCCCGCTGCTCCTCTCAGCAGTGTATTTCGTCAGTCTGCCTGCTCTGTTCCCCTCTCTGGCTCTGGTGAATTCTCTCATCCTCCCGCACTTCTGACTGTACCCAGTGCTTGTATAAATAAATAAAATAAATCTTAAAAAAAAAGTTTATTTTACTTCTCACATTAATATCAGTCAACTTCTTTAATTATGGAAGTTCCGGGTCCTCCTCCCTAATCTTACTATTGCCCCCTTTACCTCCTTGTTTCTTAGGGTGTAGATGAGTGGATTAAGAGTTGGAGTTACAACAGTGTAGAAAAGGGTATAAAACTTGCCCCGTTCATGAGCATATTGATTCTTGGGTTGGAGATATACAGCTGTGACTGTGCCATAGAAGAGGGAGACCACAAGAAGGTGAGAAGCACAGGTGCCAAATGCTTTCTTCTGCCCTGAAGTTGTTTTTATTTTCAGCACAGCCTTAGCAATAGCGCCATAAGAGGAAAGAATAATGATCAGGGGCACCACCAGGAGAATGATACTAGCGATGGACATCTGGATTTCATTGTAGGTAGTGTCTGCACTGGAGGCCTGAATCAGGGCTGGGACTTCACACACAATATCGTCCACTTTCTGGTGAGAGCAGAAGGGTAGCTGGAGGGTAGTAGGGGACTGGATCAGAGACTGAAGCAGGCCAGTCCCCCACGCAACAATGGCCAGCTGCAGGCATAGTTTTGGGTGCATGATAGTGGTATATTGAAGTGGATGACACACTGCCACGTAACGGTCCACAGCCATGACGACAAGAAGGACGCATTCAGTGGCCCCAAGCCACAAGAAGACATAGAGTTGAATAGCACAACCAATGTAGTTGATGGTCTTCCTTGGACCCCAGAAATTAACCAACATCTGTGGAACACAGCTGCTAGTAAAACAAAGTTCCAGAAGGGAAAGATTGGAAAGAAAGAAATACATTGGGATGTGGAGTTTGGGATCCTTCCAGGAGACAAGAATTATGATCATATTTCCTGTAATAGTCAAGCCATAAAAAATCAGAATTACCCAAAACAATATCTTCTCTAAATATGGCTTGTCAGAGAAGCCCAGGAGGATGAAATCACTGTAGCTGTCATTGCAAATAGTGACCATATTTTCTGGGGCATTTGCCTCTTCTGGGAGTGGCTCAAAAGTCTGTGATGATTCCATTATGGAGACAGGAAGAATGAAAGTATGATTTATTCAGTTCCTTTCTATTCAAGGATAAGATTTTTGTCTCCTACATTTTGGAAAAAATTCAAGGCTTAGTGGTTTTTAATCTGTACTATTCATTATTCATTTTATCTTTTTTCTTTTTTCATATCATCTCCATATCTTATATCTGATTATAACTCTACATTATAAGTATTATATACAATATGTATTAGATACCTACTAAAAATGAATTTGTTAATATTATGAATTCATTCCAATTTTACTCTAAAAATTATGTGCATAGCACATTTATTGCAATGTTATATATAATGTTAATATATATAAACTATAACTGTATATACTACTATTCAAAAACTTATTGCCTCCTCTGTTCATTATAATACCTTATTTGTCTGTCTTTGTATTTCAATTTATCTCATTATCTCTATCCTGTGTTCACTCCCTCCCTTTCATCTCTCCTATCGCTGGTCTCCTTTCCTTTCTCCCTCCCTTTCTCTTCTATATTCCCTCTTTCCACTTTCAGTATTTATGAGCTTGAACTCTACTTCATCCACATTATGCTATATAACCTTATAAATTTATTTCATTTTTTTTTTTTTGCTTTTACCTTAGTTGCTAAGATTTTCTGTGGGAAAAATCTTGAAACCCACGTATGCACTTTGGAGGAATTAATTGTGAAAACACAGGAACCAAGGAGTTCCTGTCCTGTAGAAATTGTTCAATATATGTTATCTATAATTATCATGATAATGTTACTATTCAAATGATAGTTCTAGATACAAACCATCAAGATATATTGGCAAAAGTTTGCAAAAAGTATGATAATCTTTTTTTTTCCCATATCATTTAACAAATACAGACTTCAGAGTAATGTCTATAATCAACAGTTATTGGTGAATTTTATTTAGTCCTAAATGAAGCTGTGTTGAATAATGAGCAACAGCAATGTAGTTATGCTTGACTGAGTTCTTATCATGTACCTAACAATATTTTAACTAGATCAGTTTATTTAATGCTCACAGGTTTTTTTAGGAGGTATAACACACCTGAGTTAGTATCTTATTAGCAGTTATGCTATGTAAATTTCATCAATTTAAAATAATCCTAATAATGCTAAAGTATTTAGGATTTATCCTATAAATTCTAATATAGAAAACCAAATAACTGAAAATAAAGGTGAAAACACGTAAGGACATCTAAAACTATGCATTGTTTCAAATGGGTCTCTAGACTCAGAAGTCTGAGAAAATTATGACATGACTTGTTAATTACAATTTATTACATAGTCATACATTCAAGGTGAATTCTTAATCTCAGTTTAGTGCAACTGGAACAGCATAATGATGCATCATGTGATTAAAGTTTTTTCATTAATTTATGTTTTGGCTTTTACACAACTTGCTGAAGGTTATTTCCTTCATATGCTTATTCTTGTTTCCAATCTGACCACCCTACCATTCCCTGTCTATGATGAATCACATTTGACTTTATTGACACACTAGAAATAGAGTCATCTGAAGTTCTCTCAATCAGTAGTTTTCATGCTTACAGGTTATTAATCGACAGATAGCTCCCAAGCACAGGTACCTTGTAGGCCATTAAGATGCACATGATTTCTCGTACTTTTTTTCTACTTTCTCAGTTTTGCTTTATTATCCCAATCAATTTAGAAAATTCAAATATTCTCTTTGAATCTCTATTTTTTTCCTGTGTCATTTCCATTACTTTGTGTAGATTTTTTTTAAGTTAGAGTTTAAATGGAAACACTTTGGTTGTCAATATGAGTTTATATTAGGTAGAAGAATAAAGTTTAATATTTTAAAGAATTGCAGTCTTGTAGATTTCCATTTCCAAAATCAAGCTGCCTTGTATTCCATCCTGTGACTTTTATCCACTTCTTTTAACTTCTGATTTGTGTTCTATGTCTATTAGGATTGTTCCTAACTTACTTGTTTTTATACATAATATAACTATAATCTATGTATGTTAGTGCCTATATATCTAAATTATCAATATCTGTATACATATATCTATATCTTCATCCATATACCTATATTTGCATCTATTTAAGTTTTTTTTTTCTTATGATGACTCAGTGGAGGATATGTGTTTTACATCCTGTATCAACTATTCACAAAAGGTTATTGGAATGAAGGAGAGAGTCTTAGGTTAGCTGATATATACTGTGCAAAGTATAAGAATATACTTATTTCTATTTCTGTCAGAATTTTGTCTTCTTCCTGAAAATGTGAATTATTCCTATGATTTTCTTTTAGTCTACCTCTCTTACTTTTCAAAACAATATCTGGAGGGTTTTCTTGAGAGACAATGAATCCCTATTCCTCTGATTCAAATGTGCAATAAAATATTTATTTCTCACCTTCTCAAGTAGATGCCCTGATGACAATGTATCAGCTCTCCTTAGCCCACTGGATTTTAATAGAGCTGAAATGGGCAGTTACGTGTGAACTCAGATTGATCTCACACACACTGTCAGTGACCTACATCAAGCATGCTGTATATGTCTTTCTGTCTGCCCCAAGGTCTTGTCTGGCACTGTGGGATCCCACTTGGCACATAGACAAGTTACTTCCTGTAATGCAAGTGATTTAATGACCCTAGAGGAAACCTTAAACAAGGGTTGATGATAGCTAGTGAGTAAATGTTCCAGAAGCTTTTCTTTTATTTGAAAAAAAAATTCTGTATGCTTTTCAGTAGGTCCTGAGAGAACTGATCTTCCATTTTGCATAACCAGTTAATAAATCCTAATAATGACTCTTATCTGTCTCACTTTTCCTGTTCCCTCATTTATTCCTTCTGAAATAAGTTAAAAGTCAATTATTTAAACCTATTTAAAGTCTGCTTTCAGGGAGATATAAATGTTGTTGATCCAGGAAGTAGCACTGGAAAGCAGAGTCTTAGACTTGGAAGAGCATGAGGGAAATGAAATACCAGTCAGATTGCAACTAGTACTTCTTTATATATTTTAATATTACCCTCTTGTTAAATATAAGATTTTCATACATATGAAAATTGGAAGGATGCCCTTTGGTTTTGATGACAAATTTTTACAATGCAGAAGTATTTTTGTTTTATATAGTGTAATATCTTTGTGTTTGCTTATGTATCCTTTGCCATTGGAGTCAAATCTGCCATTAGAGACTGGCATACATTAAGGAACATATCACCTATGTAATCTTCTATGTATTTTATGGATTCATATCTTATATAGCCATATCCATTTTTATCCCATTTTAATTGATGTATATAAATTATGAATTAATATATATGAAGAGAGGGCTACTTTCATTTTGTAGCATGTAGTGGCCTAGTTTTGTCAACACCAACTGTTGAAGGGACATCCCTTGCTCCATTGTCTGCTCACAGCTCCTTTGGCATATTTTAATAGTCTATATGTGTGCATATGTATTTTTGGGTTCTCAATTAAGTTCCATTATCTGTGCGTGTATTTTTATTCCAGTACTATGCTGTTTTGATTTCTATAGTATAGTTTAAGTACAGGGAACATGATATTTTCTTTTTTCTCAAGAATTATTTTTGCTACCTGGGATCTTTATAATATTTTGATTTTTTTAATTTATACTGATGAAGTATCAATGGGATGTTGATACATAATACATTTAATCTATATAGAACTTTAAGTAATATGACCTTTTTAACAATGTTATTTCTAATCTATGAATTTGGAATATATTTCAATTATTTACATCTTTTACTTCTTTTTAATAACACTTGTAATTTTCCATATACAGGTCTTTTATTTCTTTGGTTACACTTATTGCAGTTATTATATGTACTTGCTGTGATTGTAATGTGGATAATTTTCTGATTTCCATTATTCTAGATTATTATTTGCATATAGAAAAAGAACAGATGTCTATGTATTAATTCTGTAGCCTGCCAATTCACTGTACTGGGAGTAAGGTATATGACACCTTTTCACTATACTCCAGGATTTTATATACATATTTTAAAGCCATCTACGAATAGTGATAGTTTTATTTATTTACAACTTTGGTATATCTTATATCATTTTCTTCTGTAATTGTTTTGGTTAAAATTTTCAAAATGATGTTGAATAATGGATAAGAGCTAACATCATTGTCTTGTTCTTTATCTTAGAAGAAATATATTCTCTTTTTCACAATTTAGTATGAAATTAGCTGTAGTTTTATCATACATAGCACTTGTTATGTTAAAGTATGTCGAACTCTTTTTTGAGGGTTTTTATCATGAATGAATATCAAATCTTATCAAATGCTTTTTTTTGGTATCTAGTATGATGATTATATGATTTTATCTTTTTTGTTGGTGGTGAGCAGTATCACTTTATATATTTCCATATGTTGAACCACCTTTTGCATTCTTGAAAAAAAGCTCATTAATCATAATTAATTAATTAATTAATCATAGTTCATTTAATGTTCTGTTGAATTTGGTTTGCTAGTATTTTGTTGAAAATTTTTGCTTGTATATTCTTCATAGATACTCTATAGTTTCATGTTCTTGTGATGTCTTTGTCTGGTTCTGGAGTCAGTGTAATATTTACCTTTTAAAAAGTATGTGGAGGGCGTCCCCTGGTGGCGCAGTGGTTGAGCACTGGGCTGCGAGGCTGGCCGCAGCCTTTGCAGTGCCGGTTCGTTCCCTGGCCGCCAGCGAGGGTCCCACACACACATACACACACACACACACAAAAAAAAAAAAAAAAAAAAAAGTAGTGGAAGTTTCCCCTGCTCTTCAATTTTTTGGAAGAGAAATTAAGAAATCTAGGTATTAATTCTTCTTTCAAAGTTCGGTAAAACTCATTTAAACACCAAATTGCTCTAGGACTTTTATTTTGAGGGGAGGCTTTTGATTACTATTGCAAAATCCTTGCTCATAATTAGAACATTGGATTTCTTACTTCCTGGTTGAGT